ATCCCCGACCGTACGTATGACAATCGAGGCGTCTAATTTCATTAACAAATCCTCTAACTTGAGAAATCTGTATTCATAATAGTTACTATTAAAGACAACCTAAAAATCCTTAAATGATAACGCCGGCAAACGTCTTGTTGTTGAGAGAGAAACATATTGTGCTTCAACGTAACTCTACCATACGAGAGATATTCTATAGAGTGAGGACAAGGAAGCCATTTGACGAAATTTCTAAAGCCGTGATCCAAAAAATCTTTTGCCCGCTACAACACACATCTAAAGAACTCGGCTGGATAGGAATATAAGAAATGATAACTTATTAATGGTACAATTTGACTAATAGAAAGGGAGTAATTGGTCTTTAGACCTACTTCAGTTTACTGTACCTGGCACGGGTGGATCAGCGGGACGAACGAAGTAACATATAAATAGGGTATTTTAGTGAGAAATTGTCTTTTAAAAGTTGTAGAAGATCGGTAGTCACATTTATCTCTGAATGCATTATTGCAAGTTCTGAAGATCATGAAGTTGCTTATGACTGGAGGAGTAATTCAGTAAGTTCTAATGTCAGTTTCTTTTTCTGTTTATAGGGGCGTTACCCTGTTATCCTGTGTCAAGTAACATGATGAGAGTACCTCAAAAATTCATCGTTTCAGATAAAATTTAAAGAACGCTTTGTGGGACTGGGGAGACTTAGTTTGATTTGTAGTTTTACTCACTTCTACAGATTTCGTCAACGTGGATAAAACACCTTCTGACAGTAAATCAAGTGTGACAATTCAATAAACTAAGATTAAGGTCGTTTCATCTTATTGGATCCTTCATGCCCTCTTGTAAAACACCAAATAATTATACTTCTGTACTAGTAAATTCAAACTACAATTATTCGGTGGTTTTTAACCACATTCGTCGTAAATACGCATTCTAGAGAGATACTTAAATGATTAATTGTATTAGGCTCTACAGCATAGAGTTATTCTAAGCAAACTTGTACAATAAAATATGGAAGAATTTTAGGCATAAAAATTGTCAAAGGACTAAAACGTAGTTAATTATAAAAAAAGAAATACGTTGTCGATAAACTAGGAGAAAAGTTTATCGGGTAACAACCAAACAACTCAACTTCTCAGTGGTGAAGAGCTAAAAACGTTCTACAACTACTGTGAAATTAGGCTGTAAAAAAGTCAGTCAATCAAACCTTTAAATAATAAGAATTGATAACATTCCAAATTAGGGAAGCTACGTCCGACAATTTGATAAGGCTACCTTCAAAAAGTAGGTCGACTGAAGGAACAAAAGATAAAACCTAGAGGAGCAATATGGCAGCCTTGAACTGAAAACAGCAAATAAAATAAAATTAGTATAGTTCTTAAAGATCTGCGAATAGAGTGGAACACTAGGTACGAGTCAAATGAACAACTACAGTCAATATGTAGTCAAAGAAAGTGAACAAAATTGCCGAAAATTGTAAGTTTATATTCTGAAGAAAAATATCCGCTTAGAGAACGTTCACAAATACACATCAAGATATTTGGCAGATCATTACAAAAGGATTTTGCGCACATGTAAACTCGTGTTTTGACTGCGTCCACTTTTGAAAATTGTGGAGATAGTTATAGATGAAGCAGACCGGAAATATCAACTCTAAAACTCTATGCTCTCCTCAATCTACCGAAAATAGGAACAGTATTATTTGGTCCGATATATAACCACATCCTGAAGCAAGCACAATATATATGTTTCTACTCAGAACTTTAGGCCGCACGAATTTTTAACTATTCGAAACAATTTTATTTACTCATCCAAGACTTCACCAGAAGAAATTTTCTAAATTTCGTTTCATTAACCCAAGAGGAAAAACGTTTTCTTTAAACAATTCTAAAGAACAACGGGTGAAAAGTTATTCGAACAACGTGATAAACTCTGCCAAGCTTCCATGTACAGCACAGAAGGATAGTGATGATTTATCATATCTAACAGTTCTCCACAAGTTAATAAATCTTTTCCAAGGATCACAATTAACCTAAGATTAAGTAGACATCGACATAACATAGTTTGCAAACGAGTACAATTTGGTCGTTAGAATCTGTAAATTTAATATTCCCATTGGTTTAAACGATAGTATGCAGGATTACTTTGAGTTTCATCCCATCAAAATCCTTATTTCTTGATACGTATAACTGGCGAAATTCCAATATTTCGTTTTAACTCAGGGCTAACGAAAAACGTTTTTTCGATTGGACTGGACTAAGGTTTCCTGTACAAAGAGTTTATGAGTTCCTTGTATGAAGTTATCTCAAACCACTAACTCCGTTCCTAATTTGACCGGCCGTAATGAAAAAGAAAACGAATTATATGAGAAACACTAAAAAACCTAAATTGTACACCATGAGCTATATATTCGGGAGTTTTCACAGCTCAAAATTGTGCTCAGTGGCAAAATGGAAGGTTACATAAAAAAAGATACACACCTGAGAACCAATAAGGGTGTTTCGGAAGCAATAAGATAAACTATCTGCCACCAAATATTCGATTAACTGACCCTGAATGTCAGAGAACAATCTTCAAACGCTCCACACCGTAACCTTCAGTTCTGCGAAACATGACCTAAGCATCAATACTCTGACAACATACAACAGTAAACCTAATGTTAAATGTAGATCTTAATCAATAAGGCCAAGAAAACGTGCATTGAGAGCCGTAAAATGTGATCACAACAGTCCTGAAGGTTGAAATACGAGAAGCAGCGAAATAACAACGAAGCGACTATATTGTTCAACGAATTCCTTCAGAGAGATTTTTTGAGTATTTCAGTTCGGTAAAGAGAAGAGTCTGGATAAGTTGTCATGATCATGACGGTAGTGGTCTCTCAATTGATACAACGTTTTTTGAATGAGTCAATGAATGAAGCTCCAATCACCTGTTTAGTTGACTAGTTTCATTAGTTGATGATTTCATAGGAAAGTCAATGGTCACCTGACAAGTAGTTTGTTCTGGGCTTGTCAACGCTTTTAGTATTCTCGTAAATTCTCTAATTTGGAAGACAAGAAAAGTGAAAGTGCATCAGAGGCGAATTTACAGTTAAATAATTTGGAAATAACGATCGAATCAATTCAGCTCCTTTTATACAAAATGGGGAATACGTCTACTCTAGCCAGTATCTCGTCATATGACAGCCTCAATATTTCAAATGTCAACTCAGTGGCCATTCTTTGAACCTTTTACAACACCTCAGTTCATTTTCAGGCAGAGGCTGGCTGTTTGTACGCAGTACTCGAGTTTAGGACGAACAAATATCGTACACAAAGTCAAGAAGGTCTTAGCATATACATGGTTAAATACTCTATGTATTGACAAGATAGTTCTGAAACTCATAGCAGCTACTGCACAGCAGTGTGCAGTGATTTTCGGATCTTGGCTGAAGATAACTCTTGCGTCAATGTGTGTCGGGACAAAAGGTAACTCAATGTTGTTCACTATATGTGTCTCTGTAATCTGGTGACCAATGTGCATCCTAATGCACTCGAAAGCAATTATCGGAAACTGTCAAATTCTAGACCATTCAGGTAGTCTCTCCAGGTCATTCTGAAGCTCTTCCTTTGTCATCGCTCTCTACATCTTGCCACTGTTGGCATAAACGAAGCCAATGATAGAATAGGAAAGTTATATACAAATGGGAGGAATGACATAGTTCATCAGACAGATAACCTGGAGTTGACGCCCAACTGGGAAGTCCCTTACCCACACAAGTAATTTACCTTCAATCTTGATACCACTTAACTCAGATAACAGTATTGTGTGGGGCTTCATCAAAAGCTTTACTGAAGTAAATGATAACCACATTTACAGGCAGCCTTAAGTCCCTTTGAGCACGACTTTCACGGACTACTAATACGTTTCTGAGACATGAATAACCCGACTTGAAACGGTGCCACCTTTCGGAAAGGATTGAGTTTTTGTTTAGGTACTTATCAGCTTCCAAATAATCTTCCATAAAGTTTTATTAACCACTCCGTTTAGGCTTATGAATTGATTGTTTTCAGGTTCATCTCGCACTTATTTTGAAAACAGGATTTACTATGATTGTCCACCAGTATTTTGTAAGCATTACTTGGGTCATATACACATTAAAGGATTTGCTACAAAGACTGGGGATAAAATGTGCTCGTTCGTTCATCGGGTTTCGTAGATTTGAAGACAGTTTTCTTCGTACAATTTTCTAGACTTGCGTAAGGTCGAGGCACAAATATTTCGGGTATGCTGATATTGAGATTTTGTCGCATTATTAGCTTGTAGCCTAAATCTCTGTCAACTTTTTTTAGACTGCAGTATACCGATCTATTCAGCTGCTCTTGTCCCTTGCATTTCAAGTGTTATGTTACCGTTAACAATAGAGTGGATATTATTTCTAGTGAACAAATCTTCTACTTTTCACTATTCAATCTTGTCGGCTCTTACTAACGTAGAGTCAAGTTCTCTATTGTCTACAGACTATGCCAGCATATTCCTGTGGCTGCTGTTGCATGTGGCCTAGTAGAATTCGCCAGCACACCTAGGTCAGATAATTTGTTGACAAGCTTTGGACATTTTTATAACAGACTGAAAAACTATATAAATGGTTTTGTTGTGCATTCAAAATTTCTAAGATATCGTTCTCTCCTGAAGTTTCATTACCCTAAAAATTTATCATTCTGAGGACCATTCATAGTCAATTAATATTAGTTTTTGTGATTTACGGCTACTCATTTTTATACGGTCACCGAGAGGTAATCGTTTGAGGGCAAAAACCTTGATGCATATGGTTAACAGTCATTTTATGGTATTGATTCCCTTTAGTTCGGAGATTAAAATACTGCCTTCAGCAGTCTGATTTACAACTGTTGTTTTAATAATTTAAGTTACTAAGCTATACGAATGAGAATCATATCCTTTCGTAACCATTGTCCTTCTACTACAAGTGGAACACAGATATCAAGAGAAGGTTTTCTATCCAATTGTTGGATTTTCGAACGGGAAGTTTAGTCCTAACGTGATTTGCATATATCAAACTTTTGCTGTGTTCTTACGCAACAAAAGTACCATTTCAGTTCTAAAAAATCTATCCTGAGCTATACGTTCGGTAGATTACTTTTTTTTTTGAGTTTCACTATATTTAATAGTTACCTGTGGTTTTGCCTCAGCTTACTATTCGTTTTTTTTTGTTTTTCACGTATAGACTAGTTTCAGTTTATATCACTCGTTTTGTCCGTTTTTGTCCGTTTTCAGTGTGCATTTTAGTGTTTTTTTTAAAAAGGTCTTAAGCTTTTGCCAGCATCTATAACATAGTTTGCTTCAACACCGTCATGAAAAACTCATGCAAACGTCCGGGATGCCGTTTTGCTGTCACAACTGGCATGCAGTGTGACAACTGCAAAGGTTGGTTTCACGAAGCATGCACAAATCTGACAGCAACTGCTTACAACAAACTCAGCAAGTCAGACCAAAAGTGGGTATGTGTCACGTGCAACACGGACGCAGTAGTCTTGCTGAGTAACATCATTGTCCTACTAACAGGTCTTCGAAACAAGCTGTCGGTTAACTTGGAACACGACAGTAAAAAAACGGATATACAAACAAGAGCGCGCAACGGACTCAAAAATAGGGATGTCGATAGGTATGTCATCGATGGAGCATCCATCAACACTAACGACGACGTGTCGAGGCTCAGTACCATCATTACGTCGACGGTACTAGACTCCCTAGGCAAACTCGGGTCTCCCAGCTCAGGGTCGCTGAACACAACAGTGGTTCCCAAAAACCCTGCAGGCGATTCGACCCACGTTAAGAGAGCCCAAAAGAACCAGGCATCACCGCCTAAGCCGAGCAACCCAAGTGTTGCTGCACGGAAAATAACTGGTGATTTAGTCGCACAGTCTACCCCCAAGACTGTTCGTCCGGTCAATAAAGAGCCCAAGATTCATAAACGCACACTGACCTCCAAAAAACAAGTTATTAAACCTGAACCCATCGTGAAACCTGGTAAATTAACAACAGTTCGTGACGATTCTCTCATTATCATGAACCTCGTCGACAATCCTGACCTTCCTCTCAGTCTGCAGGATAAAAACGACAGGATGCTGTGGGGTGAATTGAACAAAAAGCTCGAACTTCCTAGAATAGAGCCTTTGACGGTCACCCGGCTCACTCGAGGAAAGGATTCTAAGCATCTAAATCACCCGAGGCTTCTCCGAGTAACACTTAAGAATGCTACCGACGTAGAGGACGTCTTGCTAGCAAGTCACTTACTGAAATCAGATGGTAACGTAAGAATATTGCCCGACATACCGTACTCTGAGCGCAATATCATACGAAGCGTCCCTAAAGAATCTCGCGAGAAGTTCTTCCGCGGAAGAAACATAATTGTCCAAGGTATACCGGAAAATGCAGACCCTACTCAATCAAATTCTGACATCAGGGAATGGAAATTCATCAAACAGTCCTTGAGGCTCAAACACATACTGACTCAGCATGTGACGAGACTAGCCAAGAAGGACGGCGATCTTAGACCCCGTCTAATGAAGATAACCTTCCCATCTTCCCACATGGCGGCTGCAGTTCTGGAAGCATTTCGTGCTAATAGACGTCGATTGCCACCTGGAATTCACATGCACCCGGATAGGCCATACGAAGTTAGGACCAAGAACAAAGGCAAGTTGGAGCTGACCATTCCACTTGTGGACTGTCTAAACGATAAAAAAAACGTGTAAAGGACAGGGTCTACCACCTCGGCAAACCTCATATAGGTGGGCTACCTGTCCATTCACATAAGGTTCATACAGAAAAACAGGACGAAGCTCATGCGTTCCAAATTGAAAGCATAAACTGCTTATATACGAACGCCGCGAGTTTACCAAACAAACTGGATGAACTACGTGAACTTAGCAACGCTAGCAAGGTCCATCTGATAGGAATATCTGAAACCTGGATATCTTCTCAGTTCTCGGATCAAGAGTTAGCATTACCTGGGATGTCTTTGTTCCGCAACGACAGAAAAATAGGAATTGGGGGCGGAGTAGCCATATACATAAGCTCTTGCTTGGAGGTGCACCAGGTTCACAACCTCGAGTTTAACAATCTTGAGGAATCCATATGGTGCTCTGTAAGGTTGTCTAGTACTTCCAGGTGTCTAGTCGGAGTCATTTACAGGAAGCCAACTTCCGACACCGAGTACGATAGTCGTATGCTGGAAGGACTATCCCGCTCTATCCGTCTCGGTTTCACACACATCCTGATTCTAGGGGACTTTAATCTCCCTAGAGTCAACTTCGCGGAACACACGTACACTGGAGGCGACAACTCAACTGAAGCTCGGTTCTTCAACCTCATCGATAACTTGGGCTTATATGAAAATGTGAGGTCGGCAACTCGTTGGAGAAACAGTCAGACACCATCGCGCTTAGACTGTGTATTCACTAACGAAGAATTCCTAGCCGACAACCTCTCAATCCTGGCTTCCCTGGGAAAAAGCGATCATGCCGTCATAGCCTTCAGTTTTGTCATCAAAACTAAGCTAAGGTATCCCAACAATAATTTGCGATGGAATTTTAAACGGCTGAATGTGCGAGCTCTACATGACCATCTACAACAGGTGGCTTGGGATGTTCACCCTCAAATGGATGTGGACGGCCATTGGGACTTCTTACTGCACACGCTCTTACGTGCTACAGACCATTCAGTTCCTCAAACGGTTCCCAAAAGCTTCAAGCCACCTACAGTAATCAAGAACCTTACCCTTCGCCTCCTAAGCCGCAAACGGCACTGTTGGGCGGAATACAAACGAACTAATAACGATGGAGCGTATAGGCAATACAAACATATCAGGAACACATGCACGAAGGCTATAAGAGAAGACAGGCTTCAGTACCAAACAAAGCTTATGGACAAATTCGCCTCTAACCCTAGAAGCCTATTCCGTTATGCAGCCTCTCTTCGTCAAGCCAAAACAGGAGTTTCTCAACTGCTAGGACCTAACGGCCCGACCAACAACGATGGTGACGCCGCCAACCTTCTGGCGGCCCATTACTCTCAAACATTTCAACCGGCTGATATCAACTTTATCGACGACAGTTTCATCTGCAATTCCACAGGACTTTCTGAAGTGGACCTAAGCGCTGACTTGGTGTTCCGGAAACTGCAGCACTTAAGACTTGACACTTCTCCTGGCCCGGATATGGTTCATCCTGCCATACTGAGGGAGGCAGCCTCAATCCTGGCAACGCCGCTTAGCGTGATGTTTTCACACTCGCTTAGCCGAGGCAAACTACCGGAAAATTGGAAGTTGGCTCACATCACACCAATTTTCAAAGGTGGTCGACGCAATGAACCTTCAAGTTACCGGCCGGTAGCTCTTCTGTCGTTACCTTCAAAACTCATGGAGTCCCTGATATGTGACGGTTTAAATGACTACCTACTGTCCTTAAATTTCTTCTCACCCCAACAGCATGGTTTCAGGAAGGGTTACTCTTGTATAACCAACCTGCTGACTGCGGTGGACAGATGGACAAGCATCCTCGATCGCAAGGGAAAGGTTGATGTCATTTACCTTGATTTCTCAAAAGCTTTTGATAAGGTTAACCACTTATGTCTTATCAACAAGCTCAAACGACTAGGTATCAGACCACCTCTAATCGACTGGCTTACTTCATACCTAAAAAATCGACACTTTAAGGTTAGGGTTAATTTCACTTTATCTCAAGCTATGGAATGTCCTAGTGGGGTCCTCCAGGGCTCAGTACTAGGGCCTCTTCTCTTCTTGATCTACATAAATGATCTTCCTCAACAGGTAACGTCAGACGTATTACTTTTTGCCGACGACGTGAAACTTTGGAGAGAGATACGCAACCAAGACGATGTACAGGCACTTCAAGAGGATCTGACTCGACTTCAAAGTTGGGCAGACGATAACGGACTTACCTTTAACACTTCTAAGTGTAAAGTAGTCCATCTGCGACATGTCGCAAACTACAGTTACAACTTAGGAAACTCCTCTCTAGTAGTATCCCAAGTCGAAAAAGATTTAGGAGTCCTGGTGCCCCATGACTTAAAGTCTTACGCTAACTGTGACAAAAATGCCTTCCGAGCAAACCTTGCACTGGTAACGTTGAGGCGCATTTTTGGTCAGTTTGACGGAAGAACTTTCCACACAATCTTCAATAGTTTCATCCGTCCCCATTTAGAGTACGGAAACATAGTACCCCCCCTCACTCCAAAAGGATAAGGTCACTTTGGAGCGTATCCAACGGCGAGCCACGAAATCAGTTCGAGGACTCAAATCTAAGCCTTACGAAGAACGCCTCCGTTCACTAGACCTTTACCCACTAGAATATAGGCGTCTTAGAGGTGATTTATTAATGGCTTATAGTATTCTTAACACTTCTGGACATCCTCTTAAACACCTACTTAAGCTTAGTTCGAATAATAACCTAAGGGGTAACACCCAGAAACTGGAAACACAACATAGCAAGACGGAATGTAGACACAACTTCTACTCCTTAAGAGTTGTCAAAAGCTGGAACTCGCTGCCGGCCGAGCTAGTCCAAGCGACTTCTCAGGAGTTCTTCAAGAGGCAACTTGACCAATTCTTAAGGACCAAGGACAGCATCGCACTATGATTTACCAATTTCTTTTCCTTTTTTATTGTTAACATACCTAGGTTCCTGCCTTGAGGATTTGGTGATCCCCTGCTACTAGACACGGAAGCCTGTTAAGCGAAAGCTTCTTCTATTCCGTCCACAACCATTTGAACCATTTGAACCATTTGAAGGCATGATCCATAGGCGCACTGATTTAATTTGACGCTACTGCTACTAGTGATGATTGTTCTATTGAGGCTGGTAAGATCTTTTATTTTAAATTACTCATCATAAACATGCTAGAAAGCCTCAAACATCCAAATTTATAAATATGCGAAATATCCTATTTCAACAAGACTCTGCAAAAGCAATCCTTTTTTATCCAGTTTTTCTACAAGGTGAGTAGTTTGCATCATTCGGGTACTGTCCTCATATTTCCTATTTATAGACATTGTGTGTAATATTCCTTGCGTTATGAAAGCAACTGATTCAACACATCCGTTAATCGCCTGATTAACAGATACGTTTATTTATTTTGGTGGGGTTTTGTTCTCTGAGCTGGATGGTTTGGTCGTTTATTTATGAGGCTCTAATTGTTTCGAGCTGAGATTTTTTTGATGAATTTAAAGTCACGTCACCTATCAACTTCCAAGGGGTTTTAAACACACATTGATATGCCTCAAAAATCGACTGGCCAGTCTTACATCATCAACACACTAACGTTTTGATGTCGATTGCACGTGATTTATTTGTAGGTGATAGCTATCACCTACAACATAAATTTCGGGGAAATGCCTCCTTATTGCCATATTTCTGTATATTTTACTGTGTAATTATACCGTCAAACTTCGATTACGAAACAAATCAATTGCATAACCATAACGCTTTCTTTCATTCCTATTCCTCCGTTGACCTTTGCAAAGAGTGGTTACACCAGAAGTACTAGATGTCGTACGGGTCACTTGAATTATCAAGATAAAATGTCATATCAAGGTAATAAATGACATCTAAGTGTCAACTTTGTAACGTGATGATCGATAACTACCCGCTACCCACTGCTCGGTTTTCAGTTTCATATTAAAACAGCGTCCTTACTTTGGTACGGCACCTACTTTTTATATTTCCGGTCATCATTTCTCGTCGTTTATTAGTGGAAGTAATACTTTATCATATTTTTCTGTCTCACACATAAATCGCAGAACTACCAGTTCATATTCTGAAAATGCTATTCCTCCAACCAAACCCCGAAGAATTTTCCGGAAGTTACTGTTTTTGAGTCTGATATCAATCAGTTCATTTATTGGCTTAGTTTACGTGTCTGAAACCATTCGAAATGAATTGATTTCATACTATCCACCTTCTAAGGATATACTAAATGTGGTCGAAAATTCAATTGGAGGTTGGTATTCTGGTCCAAAAGCTGAACAACCGGTTGTTCCTGTTGGTGATTTTCCACTTCCACCTAAGTAAGTATATTGTCTTTCGTATTTTAAGGGTGTAGTATTTTGTTCTACAGGGTTTAGGTTCTTTACGCTTGTAAATTCGCTTGTCTGACTCGTCGCTGAGATCTTTTCAGGGGATTATTGAGAAAGATTTATTTCCTTTAGATTTGAAAGTGACTTCACAACTAGTAATATTTGAAATACTTTCTCCATAATTAAGGACAATGAAAGTAAAACATCTTCAGAATTCGCCATTACTCGCACACCGTAAATAATTGGTGATGGACTAAGTGTATTTCTTTTAGGAAATTTGTATCAAACCATGTGTGCATTTTAGAGTAATTTTTAATTACTGTTTATCATCCGAGGAAGTCGAGCTGTGGTATCGGTTCTTGAAGTCGTTAACTGTTGGATCTAGGCGTAAGGAAAAGTGTGTTTCCTTGCCCGAGCCCGTGCAACAACTAATTCATATTGGGAGATGTTGGTTGGTGTGGGCTTAAATGGGTCACTACGACAGCTGTTTTCATTTTATATCTTCGTCATAATCATGAGTTAAGTTTCATCTCTTTTTATCATTCAATCTCTTTTTTCTTTTCAGCTACATTTCTCACTCTTAGCTTTTTATTGTAATCTATATTATTCCACGTCTTACGCTCATCTTGTTGATTTCTTTCGCTGTACTGATGCAGTGTTAAAAGCCGGCTCGATCAAACCTTTCGCTTAGTAACTCTGAAATCCTAACTTTAATATTGTTTGGTATGAGTTTCTTCAATATGCTTTCCATATTTTTGTAATTGTATCTTAGTTGGATCAATTAGAAACTCCGAAAATATGCAGTGTTGCTTTGTCCTACTATTTACTCATATGGGGAAAAACCTAGAGTACAACAACCAATTAATGATAGCTAAACAGTGAAAAAAATCACCAGTAATATTCAGCTGTATACATTTTAGGACCTCATAACCCATTGTGTCTGTTCGGAAACGTTTACCATCTTGAGGACTACATACTCGTGAACTAATCTCCATTTCTCGATATATTCAGCCAGTATCTTAATGATGCGTTTCCTCGGCGTTTTTTGATATTCTAAAATTTACTCATGTCTTTTTGTTTCATCTTTTATTTTGAACGCTATTGTAAACCACATAATCTCATAAAATATCTTTAGGTGATGTTTGTTAAACATAATTTTGTCTGTACATCACTAATCTCCTCGTTCTTCCGTGAATTTTAACTAATGGTATTCAGCAACAAACTTACTGTTACTATACTCAACTTCCAGTCACCTTTTGTATGTATATATCATGCTACGCAGATGCCCAAGTCAAGTTAGGTTAGGCAGAGTGTGAACATGGAGTCCTGTGGTTGAAATTATTTATTTATTTAATTACTAAAACACATAAACATTGGTACAAGGAGGCACCAAACAGATATGCGCCATACTTCTTCATTCGATTTATGTGAGGGTTGTGATACTGCCCGGGTGCCCAGACCGAAGCAGGTGGTTTACTTAGGGGGCCACATCCCGAGCCATTGACTTAATGGTCTAATCCACAAGGCAGTGGAGCAACGTAAGGAGATGCTGTCACATAGTAGTCGGTGACCAACAATAGGTTCATCCACCATTTGTTTTCTTAAGATCCTGAAACCCATGTGCACCAATAGTTTGGAATCAGGGTGGAGTCTCCGTGTTCACCAACCCGAGTAAAGCGCAGGACATTCGCCTTTCTTCCTCTCAAATTTATAAACAACACCCCCACCGCGAGAAGGCAGTGAGTAAGACTTCCCTGGCAGTGGTTGTATGTACATGGCCATGTGAGAGCATTTCAAGAGGGTGAGCTGACTTCCTGCTCTCGGCTGTAACAGGGTATTTGGGGCATTTGGCTGAAAGTATTAATTTCTCTACTCATTTACCGTAAGATATACTTGTACTGATGTCGACAATTCACTTTCTTCTCAGTGATTGGTCTCTTATTTTTTCTACTGGCGAAGATGTGAATAGCAGTGTACATAAATGGTAATGTTATAAGTGGTCATTTGTTCGAAGTATTTCTATCGACAATACAAATTAAATATAATAATGTTCATGGCTTTATCGTCCACTATTCTGAAAAATTCGATTCTCGTGGATTAGCTATGACGTGTCGCACTCTGTCCCTAAACAACACGAATTCAAATCTTCAAGGTATCATAAATTATTTTTATTTATTATATTTGAACACATAAATATTGGTACAAGTGGGCACCAAATATATATGCCGCGCAAAACAATGAGAATTCGAAGAGAAAAAGAAGAGAAAGTAAGGAGCGTAAAAAAAGAACAATAACGAACAGATTAGTGTAAGGTAGTGTAATAATAATAATAATAATAATAATAATAATAATAATAATAATAATAATAATAATAATAATAATGGGGGAAACGGAAAGGTAAAATCAGAAGGAATCTTTCAGTTAAGGAAGATACAACCACTGTTTATAAAGAAAGTAAAGGAAGGTTACAGCAGGATCGCCACTGGCTTCTATTCTGAGCCATATCTGATAACGTCTCTAGCCACTGTGTTGCACCATCTCTCAGACCCCGACCAGGGAGTCGTGAAGAACCAACACAATCCAGTCCTTTGCAGCTTTCTTTCATACCACGACACCATGTCATGCACTGACCACCTCTCCGCTTCTTCCAACCAGTTCCAGAGTCGGCAAATAATGCACGACGTGGAATTCTCTGGGACGACATTCGGAGAACATGTCCAAGCCGCCGAGGTCGGTGTTTCAAGATGATGACACCAATTGAATTATCATTTCTGTGCCCGAACACACGATGCCGAACCTCTGCATTACTGACATGGTGTTGCCACTGAATGTCAGCAATCCTTCGGAGACAACGATGATGGAACACAGAGTCGTCTAACATCCTCAACTCGGAGAGACCAGGTTTCACAAGGATAGAGGAACACTGCTCTCACAGTCGCGTTGTAGATCCGACCTTTTACAGCCAGACTAACATCACGAAGGCGCCAAAGGTGGCCCAGATTGGCATAAGCCGCTCTGGCTTTCACTATTCGTGCATTGATCTCATCACTCACACCCCCACCAGCACTTATGCAGCTACCCAGATACACGAACTTCTCGACTACGTCTATCTGCTCACCATCCAGGGTGAGTACAGGATTGGAATCCTGCCAGTCTTGTAGGAGTACTTTGCACTTCGAAGGTGCAAAGCACATACCATACCTACGGACACCGATTGCCAACTGATTAAGTGCGGATTGCATGCCTTGGGCATTATCGCACAGTAAGACAATATCGTCCGCATAATCAAGATCGAGAAGTCTTTCTCCAGGCAACAGATCCACACCACCATTACTTACATTCATCAGAGCTGTTTCCAGAATGTCATCGATGGCAAAGTTGAAGAGGAATGGTGAGATTGGGCAACCCTGCCTAACCCCACTACTCGAATGGAACAATGGAGAAAGGTGGTTGTATGCCCTCACTCTACCTGAGGTGCTTGTATATAGAGCCTTTAGGATGTTAATAAACTTCTCAGGCACACCCTTCTTCAATAGAAAATCCCAGAGAACAGTCCTGTCCAACGGATCGAAGGCAGCCCTGATGCCAAGAAACACTACGATTGTTGACCTTTGATAAGTATGACGGTGGTCTAACATTTGGCGGAGGGTGAAGATATGATCAGTACGTGCTCGACTGGAACAAAAACCAGCCTGCTCCTCGCGAGTCAATCTTTCTCCGGTTTTGAACAACCTACGAAGTATGATGGAAGCGATGGACGCGATCGGAAGTAGACTTATCCCGCCGACAGTTGTTACAGGATCGACGTGAATTCTTTTTAAAGATAGGAAGAACTATCGACTCATTCCATGACGTTGGTACACCCTCTAGTTCCCAAACCTTTGTAAACAACGTTGTCAGTTCCTTAGCCATAAAGTCACCACCATCTTTAAATAGGGACGGAGGTGAGTCATCAGGGCCAGCTGATTTGTAGCGCTTCAAGAGTTGGAGTTCCTTGCGGTAGCATACAATTTTCAACCAGGCAGTGACTCGAGAACGTTTAGATAGAACTGAGTTTCCACCATGGGCGAGCTGCTGTATAAGTCGAAAAATAAAGATATATAAAATAAGAATAAAAGAGAGAGTGAATAAGGAACGTAAAAAAAAATAATAATAACAATAGTAATAATAATAATGTGAATCGTTTGGTTGTTAGTCGAAGCAAGACAAGTATTTTCCATAAATATCGACGTTTCATCATATTTGTGTATGGGCTGTGATACTGTCCGGGTGCCCAGACCGAAGCAGGTGGTTTGCTTAGGGGGCCACACCGCGAGCCTTTGACCTAAAGGTTCGACTCACAGGACAGTGGAGCATCCTGAGGAGATGTAGTCCCATGGTAGCCGTTGACCAACGATTGGTTCATACGCCACTTTTCTCCGAACGATACTGGAGCCCATGTGCACCATTGGTTTGGGGTCCGGTTAAAGCGCCGGACATTCGCATTTCGTCCTCTCATTTTCGTTAACGACACCCCCGCCACGAGAAGGCAGTGAGTAGGACTTCCCTGGCAGAGGCAGTATGCACGTTGCCGCGCGAGAGCGTTTCGAGGGGAAGGGCGGGCCCACCTAACTCTCGACCATACCTGGCCATTTGGGGGCATCATGGTAGCGAAGTGGATAACGCGATGGCGTTTAAAGCGAACATTACTGGGTTCGAGTCCTAGAGTGAATACCAACTCTGGGATGCAGGTACATTCAGCCGACGAGTCTCAAATAGGACAAAATGCGCTTACTGGATTCCACTAATCATGAATCAAATGATGAAAGTATGAACTTTAGTCACAAGTATCAAGGAACATAAGACCTGAGTTTACGGCTTTCTATCAACTATACCTAAAAGCAGCTTGCACTAACTATAACAAATAAATGTGGTACTCGGTAATCATCGTGATACTTTTTTATTAAAATTTGTTGTCACTCGGATAGTAAGTTGTACATGCATAGTTTATTCCAGGTGTTTAGTACATACTTTATTGATCTCTATTACTATTTACTCTTTTTTCAAGACGAAATTCTGAGTCAATCAGTCAGGTGAATTCTGTGGCCAGTTCAGAACCTGTTATTGTAAGTTACTGTAACAAATATTACGAGAGTTATGATATTCATCACTTCGTTCTACCACCTATATTGTAGTTTTGATCGAAAAAAATAACAAGTTAATGTTAACATAAAAATGTTGTACTTTAACATTTACCGGCTCATTACATTGCATAAAAGGTATGAAATTATCTTTGTATATGCAGTGTTTGGCTATTGTTATGCAAATTAATAGTAGTATTTCTAGTTTTTACTAATTATAATTTTATGGAGTTAGCTTGTATATTCATTGATGAAGCGTTAATGTGGGTTTAAACTTTTCCTCACTGATTATTTTTTGTAACAGGTGTAAAATACCCATGGTTTTCACGAATCTACGTATATTTTCAGCATCATTCGTTAGAATTATTTGACTAATTCATTTACCTCTTCAATTTCAAAGAGATACAATTTAAGTACTGTTTTTAGTGGAAAACGAAAGGAAACAAAATTAGACTCTAACGTCATGATCTTACTTTACAAGTTCAATCTTTCAATCTGAAATCTTGACGTTAGGGATATATTTAGTCCAAACTGTACAGGCGAGTATAGGCTTTCAGCATACGCTCCGCAAAGTGACTGTAATGAGTTGTTATACCTCAAAACCGATTACAATTGTATCGAAGTCATTCACTATTTATCTCTTGTTTAGTCTTGAGCATAGTTTCATTTTAGGATTTTCATCATTCAATCTCATTTTTTGTTCTTAAGCCATATGCTTATATTCATTTGCCCATTTCCATTGATCTGATTATTCCAACTCATCTGCCTTTAATATTTCTAATCTATTCTCGCTTTGAGCGTATTTATTTGCGAACAAGAGTCAATACACATTTGTTCCAGGTCTTAACAATTCGGTGTAATGCAACTCACCAATTAGGTTTATCTGCTCGTTATTGAACTACAGTTTTTGTGTGTGCTAATTATACTGTCCAGAACTAAAGTAGATAAGTTGGGTTTCAAATGCATTTGTTGATCATTTTGTAATTATTTGGACTTGCAGAAATACTACAATAAATTATTCTCAAGCCTCAAACCATTGTTATTTAGTCATTCTATGCACTATTTTTCTATTATTATTATTATTATTATTATTATTATTATTATTATTATTATTATTAATCATTATTATTATTATTATTATTTTCTAACTGATTTTCGAGTTGTCATCGAGTGTTTTTTCATAAAATATCGGTGTTTGTTAATTTTAGATTGAGAAAAAAAAGCCTCCACTACCTACTGTGGAAGAAGTTAAAAATATGACAGAGAAACGTGATCATGTGCCGGTGATGAACGTAGACTTCTGTAAGTTTCTCAGATGTTTAGTTTCTTTTTCTGCTTTCAATTATTATTGTTAGTCATGTCTTTTATTGCTGAAACTGTGCTGTTTGTACTAGATTGACTAGATTGATTATTCTCAATAGAGTTGTCCACCATAATCTTTTGTTAATACTGGCTTAGCTTAGGTTAATTACATATCTATCGTATTTGCTTTTTAAGATTATCCCCAACAGTAAGAGAATACCTTATTTTTTTAACATTGTCTTCTCATTCCATGTAAAGTTTTCAGAGGGACTAATTTTCTAAATGATCACATTGGTTAAGTTAAGAATAGGTTTTTTACGTAAGAGGCTCTTAAAGCACAGAATTTTGTAATGATTTGATAAAACTAGTTTCAAGAAATATTATACCCGATCTCTTTCATTATTCTCTCTAATTTCTCCTTTACTGTCACTACCTCTACTATTCTATTCAGGGATTTGGCCTGAAAACTTCACCTCTATGCTAATGGGTTATGGTAAATTGAACCGATGTACATACGTACAGGTTCTGTGTTGTGACTGACTGACTGATTATGAGTATTTGCAACAAGATTTAACACCGGTGTTGGTTAGTATCACTGTGTATGTATGGTATGGAAAAGTTTGAGGTTACTTGTTATGGTTCAGGCAACTGCCATAGTAAGTAATGATCTTGAGTACTCAGTATCAATCTCTATGTTTCCCTTCCAGCATTAATCTACGTTTCATTCTATATCATTCATTTTCTATATTCACTTATTTTTTTATTCTTCTACTCTAGATTTCTATCAATGTTGAAATTATTTGTGTTTGTCACTTTTTTAACGCTTTATTGATTTCGCACCCCTGTAATAATACGAACTTTGGCAGTTTGATTTAACACACACTAAGTGGTTAGTTTCTAATCGTTTCTGTTATGAATCTATCACTCGTCGCCATCGACAAGTTTGCCGAACATAATCTTTTCCTGTTTATCGATTTTGGAGGATCTCGATTGCTTTTAATGTGTAATCTTTTTATCATCAGGCAATTTACTACGATTATTGTTGTTCAGATTTATCGAACACTAAATTGAGCCTGTATCATAGCTATACACACTCTGTGGAGTGGTGGTTTAGTGGTTAAGACTCAAGTGTCAACCACGAAGTCCTAGTTTTTAAACCTCCGCGTACTTCAATTCGGGCAACCGGGTAGCATCATCAACCCTCACACTTAATGTGGCTCATACCCAAGTAACTGTTCAAGCAGCAGTTCAAATCGTGTTTTACACAAACCTTGATTTGGGTAGTATGATAATACCATAATCCACTGTGAAGTGGTAATTTCCAACTAACAGTGGAATAAACGTAACCATCTTGAATAGCACAGCTCAATTTTTTCCCACAACTTATTGTTTTATTTCATTTATTTTTGCGGTTTCATTTATTCAGATGAACTACCCAACGTTGTGAGGGATGTAGAAAGTACAGTGGAGAGTGCCAAAACTAAATTGAAAGAATTTGAACATGTTATTGAGAAATATCTCGATGCACTGCTTATTGCTGTACAAGATAACAATGTAAAAAAATTTTAATCTATAACTTATACTCTTATGAGTTAAATATTTCATTGATATTTTCATTTTTCAATGGTTAAGATCATGAGTCAGTTGAAGCTAGACCACCATGGAAAACCTGGAAGCACTGGACGGCCGTTTCGTCCTATTGTGGGACTCCTCAGCGGTGCGCATCCTCGACCTCGCCCCCCGCGAGATTCGAACCCAGGACCTACTGGTTTTGCGCCCGAGCACTTAACCACTAGACCACTGAGCCGGCATCCGACAGTGTTAATGTCTAACTTCAACTAATCCACGAAATTGAGCGACACATTCACCATTGTCTTCAGTGAGTTACTATCTCACGACAGACCACTGAGCCGGCATCCAACGGCTCGGGCGCGAAACCAGTAGGTCCTGGGTTCGAATCTCGCAGGGGGCGAGGTCGTGGATGCGCACTGCTGAGGAGTCCCACAATAGGACGAAACGGCCGTCCAGTGCTTCCAGGTTTTCCATGGTGGTCTAGCTTCAACTGACTCATGATCTTAACCATTGAAATTACTACAATCTCCACAAAAACCCATCTGATATTTTCATTTTTCTTCCCTCATATAAATACATAGTAAATACAATAGTCTTGTAGAATTAAGTAGTTTGACTGAATCATGATTGTTTGTTAGCATTGTAAGTCTTTGCATGAAGCAAATTTGGCTTGTAACTTGAAGGGGCCACATATGTTGATCATAGTATATTAATACTGCCGTTTCTTCTACTATTAGTAATGATGCCTGTCTCACTTAATTTTATGTTTTGTTGACCGATTTCCTTTATAAAAAAGGCATCATTAATGTAACTGTATAGCACTGGAATTTTTGTCGTTAAGAAAAGATCAAGTGTCAAAGTGGCTTTGTGACGGTGTCTTATAATTTGAAGGTGATTTTTGTAACGTATTGATGTTAGATGAGGAATCACTGCAATGAGGTAGAGCTAAATAGTTATTGTGTTTGATGGACTGTACTTTCAATTACTGAGTCACCAGTTTATACCTAGTACTTCTTGTCTTTGAATCGTTCTCCAGCTTATTTGATGCATCGATGGATTTAATTCTAGTATTATCAATCCTTAAACTACATATTCTGATTAGTTCATTTATTAATTAGTATCTATAAATATTTATCACTTTCTTCATCACATCTGATTATCTTGTTAAGCATTCACAGTTATTTTCGGTAATGAAGTGCATATTCATTTACTTGAAACAGAAATATTTTACGTAATGATAATTATTTGAATCGACTGATTGTTTTTCGAGTAGTTTTCGAGTAGTGGGGTTAGGCAGGGTTGCCCAATCTCACCATTCCTCTTCAACTTTGCCATCGATGACATTCTGGAAACAGCTCTGATGAATGTAAGTAATGGTGGTGTGGATCTGTTGCCTGGAGAAAGACTTCTCGATCTTGATTATGCGGACGATATTGTCTTACTGTGCGATAATGCCCAAGGCATGCAATCCGCACTTAATCAGTTGGCAATCAGTGTCCGTAGGTATGGTATGTGCTTTGCACCTTCGAAGTGCAAAGTACTCCTACAAGACTGGCAGGATTCCAATCCTGTGCTCACCCTGGATGGTGAGCAGATAGACGTAGTCGAGAAGTTCGTGTATCTGGGTAGCTGCATAAGTGCTGGTGGGGGTGTGAGTGATGAGATCAATGCACGAATAGTGAAAGCCAGAGCGGCTTATGCCAATCTGGGCCACCTTTGGCGCCTTCGTGATGTTAGTCTGGCTGTAAAAGGTCGGATCTACAACGCGTCGGTGAGAGCAGTTTTGCTCTATGCTTGTGAAACCTGGTCTCTCCGAGTTGAGGACGTTAGACGACTCTCTGTGTTCGATCATCGCTGTCTCCGAAGGATTGCTGACATTCAGTGGCAACACCATGTCAGTAATGCAGAGGTTCGGCACCGTGTGTTCGGGCACAGAGACGATAATGCAATTGGTGTCACCATCTTGAAACACCGACCTCGGTGGCTTGGACATGTTCTGCGAATGCCGTCCCAGAGGATTCCACGTCGTGCATTATTTGCCGACTCTGGGACTGATTGGAAGAAGCGGAGAGGTGGTCAGTGCATGACATGGTGTCGTGGTATGAAAGAAAGCTGCAAAGGACTGGCTTGTGTTGGTCCTTCACGACTCCCTGGTCGGGGTCTGAGAGATGGTGCAACACAGTGGCTAGAGACGTTATCAGATATGGCTCAGAATAGAAGCCAGTGGCGATCCTGCTGTAACCTTCTTTTACTTTCTTCATAAAAAGTGGTTCTGTCTCCCTTACCTGAAAGATTTCTTCCGATTGTACCTTTGCGTTCCCTGATTACTAGCACATTACCTTACACCAATCTCTTCGTTATTGTTCTCTCTTTTTTTTGTTGCACTCCTTAGCTTTTTTTTCTTTCTTTGTATTCCTCTCGAATTTTCATTGTTTTGTGTGGCGCATATATATTGGCGCTCTCTTGTACCAATATTTATGTGTTCAAATAAATAAATAAATAAATAAATGAAATATTTTACGTACAGCTATTTGGCTTCTCCCACTGACGTAGATCACTCAGTAGTTGAAAGTCAATTTTACTAATCACATGTAACCACCAATGCTCAAAAAACTTAATAAAACTCAGTATCCAAGTGATGTACATGAAGTGGCTACTTGGTGCTTATAGTACTCATCTACTGAATTTCAAATCAGAATATCGTCCCCCCTACGTAAATTCAAGTCACTAAGTAGTATGACTAGCTTTCACGAAAAGAGAGGTATGACTCAATACTAAGTATATAATCCTGCATTTATTTACTAGCTTTGATGTGTTGGAGCCTTATATAACATTCAGCAATCAAGAAATCGTCATTAATATGTAGTAATGTAATTTGCTACCGAAATTCCAAGTTAAAACTTGTTACAACACCCAGCCTACTACCTAGAAAAGAAATTGCATATTGATTGGGGAGTTGATCGTCCGCATTGAATTCAATAAAAACCACAAGAATACTTCAAAATTCTTAACGCATCTTCCATAACACCGTCTGGTGTTACTTCATCCTTTAGAGTAAGTCGATTAGCTGATAATAAGAGTACATTATGTGGATATTCCAGTGTCTAACACCAATTAAAAGCTTAAAATAGCTTCAATAATAAGCTTCTTTCATTGGTTGTACGAAATATATGATACGAGTTTTTAATAAACAGATGATTCAATTACAAACAGTTAACTCTTAAAGTAGAACAAGCAATTGTTACATGCATTTTTAAAATGTATGGAGTTATTATGAAAAACAACTGTAAGTAGTCCAAAACACCGGTATCTTTGATCACATTCTTAAGTTAAATGAGATCATCAATGCTAACCCGTTTTCTTTTTTGAGTCTCTCATCAGGAAATATCGTTTCGCTCTGCAAATAACTGAAAAGTATTAATTGGTCGTGTGCACTTTTTCAGTGTTCAAATTACTCTCGATTCCATCAAGACTGTTTATTGTTATTAATTTACTTCACATTTTCTATTGTTTGTTTTACTGTTTGCTCTATAATTCTAGGTTTCCACCATCAAAGCAACAATCAAACTATCCTTATTTGATTTTTAAACCTTTTCCTATTTTATTTTAGTTAATTTCGAAAGAGAAAAACTGGGGTTTTGTCGGAAAACTAGAACTGAAAAAAGATATGTTAGAAGAACAAGTGGAAAAAATCGTCCAACAAGCTTCGTAAGTGTTAAGTATTTTGGATGTGGGGGACTATCATTTAAATATAAATTCACATGATGTGGATAAATGAATAAAGTGTGAATTTTATTGTTTTCGTCACGAACTGACCTTAGACAACCATCGAAAGCACTGGACAGTTGTTGCATCCTAGTATGGGATTTTTCAGCAATGTACAAATACGACTCTCCCAGGGACCGAACCCAGGACCATAATGTCTTGCTGTGAGCACTTAACCTTTAGATCATTGAGTCGACATCTAATTGTTTACATTTATAACTTCAGTCAATTATTCCAATACTATAAGTAGGAGACTCCTTCACATTTAACATGATCAAACTCCATTGATCGTGATGTCATGGATTCGTACTCCCGAGGAGTTTTATATTAGGGCGAAACAGCTGCCTAGCACTTGTTTAACTAAGGTCAGTACGTAATGCAAACTACAAAACTCAACGATTCCCACAAACCCTTTGAATCGATGAAAATTTAAATTTTAAGAGGATCATCAGGATTTTATTTATCATTCAATGAATAATTCATTAAACAAAATGATAACATTAAGCTATATATAACAGAGGGGAAGCTGATAAAATCTAAGTTGCGAAATTATTAAAACAATTTAGTGAACCAGGGGATCTTATCGTAAATCTTTGATTGTCATTCTCGATAATTTGAACTTGCATTGTTGTTGTGTTTGAAGAGATTACGAGATCACCTAAAATCGGCAAACGGAACGAAGGATCAGCAACCCAACGACAAGACAAGTTAAACTATTCTAATGCGTCCCAGCCCTGCTAACTAGAGAGAGAAGCCCAGATTCAGAAGAGGTAGAAGTATGTTCTATAAGCAGTCAGAAGCACAAACAAATCAAACATACAACTCTAGTGTGTACATACAGTATAAAGGTCCTTGGGAAACCTCACAAAATAGCGTATTAAAAGAGGCAATCAACCAATGATGTTTAGGGTCTTTCCAAGTAGGAAATACAATTTGAAAGTAAAAATGGGCTCGCGAAAGCGAGCGATTCGAATTTTCAAAATAAAATTACAACGAATTCTGTAACAGTCTTTAATAGAGAAATAGGATATTTGTGTTAAGATTTGTCCTTTCATATTGTTCTCTCTCTGTTACCGTCTTTACAACATCATTCAGGAATTTCCGCACATTGACGTTCTAGTCGATAATCACTTTCCTCTTAGTGCACATTTGTTATTATGGAGGGTTAGTTTGGTAGTTAATTCATTTGATCGTCAACCATTCGGTCACATGTTTTAATCCCTCTCCAGCCACGTTGTGAAAATCGGGTACGGTCACTGACCGAGTACTGCTTATTATTCAGTGGGTCGTAACGGTGTATGCTACTTCCTCTTGCTTCCCGTACCACTAGGAGACAAATGTGAACAACTTTTTATTCAGTATTCAATTTTTATATTTAAAATAACTTACCATTTAGTTACATACTTTTTAGAAATATTTATGCTATACCTTGATCAATTTACTGAAAAGTGCTCTATGGTATCACTTTACAATATGAATATCTGTGAAATATAACTTCTATATTTTCTTATTATTTTATGGATATTTTCGCTTGTTAATATTTAAATAAGAAGTAAATTAAGCTACAATTTTCTTCGGAATCCTTAGTTTGTTTTAATGTTTTCTGGGGTTTGTGGTAGTTGAATTCGGTTTTTTTATTGGGGTATTTCAGTTTTGTGTTGTTAGTAGATTTCTAAATGGAGAAAATATATCCCATGTTCTTCATTTTAACCAGTAGCTCGGCTGTTTAGATCATCGATCTTCAACTACATCGCTACAGATTTCTGAAGGTTACTTCTATTTTCCTTTGAATATTAGCATTTATAAAAGCTACCAGTCAATCAATCATATGCAACTTAGGACCTAGCACTTATATACATCGGTTTAGGTCACCACACCATTCAGCACAGCGAGATCCCTTAGTAGTAGAAGTAGTAACATTATCAATTGTAGTACAAAGATTAGGTGTAAACTTCGTGATTCAAGGAAAAGAAATGAATTCGTGGAAAAAAAGAAAAAGTATTGGATCGTTTTAGAACTCAGGAACTAAGCAGAACTGAAGACTGAATGTACCAGCCTTACCGTAAACAATTCTGGCCTATATCATCCAAAGTCTCAAACTATTAGTTAAGATAATAGCGCGAACCCCGACTAGGTAGTCTGCATCTATCAGCATACTCAAGTCGACACTCGACTTCATGGATCAATGACACGTTTTAGTTTGATCGCCTTTATTCTATGGATTCAACTTGTAATCTCTAATGGATTTATACCTAAAAATTTTTCTTGTAACGTGATGTTTTGAATAATTATGTTTATTTATTTCCCATCTTTAATAATTAGACAACAACTTGACGAACTTCATCATATCATTGAGCAACATAAGAATTCGGAACAAGCAATCGACAGTAATATTATCCCTGATTCTATTGAATCTTATGGAAAATTACAATATGACTTAACTGGATCAATCAATAAGGTAGGCATACACTTCACGATTTTTTTGTGATTCTAAACTTCAGAATACGTCACTTTGTAGATTTTATTCTGTGAATCTCCCCCAAGTTTATGCGACAGAGAAAAGGTTGATAAATAACGACGACGTTAGTGGTCTAGGTGTTTGACTTTCAGGGAATAAGTCCAAGATTCTAGTTCTTCTCCACCTACTTTGGTTTGGATAACCGTTTAGTTAGTACCAGTCAAATTCAACTACACATATTTGTACTCGGTAAATGAGTTACACTTTGATAAGTAACAGTTCATTGTCTTGTACTACTTAAAACTTTTTTCCTGTATTACTCCTAAACGAGTGGATTTCTGTTGAATAATGTTTGATCCATGTCAAAACCATAGGTATATGCTTTTGAGAAGTTCGATATTAAGGCAAAATGGTTGTTAAGTACTCTCTTTTCTCTTGAGTTCATCAGCTAATATCAGTCCATGATGAAAACTAACTTCGAAATATCTAAACTTTTTACTGGTATATGTAACATTAAGCTGAGGTAACTAGACATGACATAAAAAAGCTGTTTGATTTGTTAGTAAGAACTTCTGAATACATAGTGAGCTCGTATACTGTATATGGCTTCACATGTTAGCATATAAAATATTGAATTCCTAATATCCCCGGGATAAATACGTGTTATATTTAATTGGTCTTGTGAAACATGCAGTCGATTGCTTTGCATTCCAATCAATATTAACCGCTTCTAACGATTTGCCTAACATGCTCAAGCTGCTATAATATAAATATGATCAAAATCAATCCAGCGTATTCATAGGATGTAACTAGTCATTTAGTTTTTTTAAGAAGCTGTCTTAAAATGCGACTTCCTGTGAGATTACCACCGTGCCAAATCTTGCAACATGAATAGTGTTTTAATTAAGCAATAAATTCAAATTTTTATGTTGACTACATAATTATGAGCAGAGATGAATAGTGGTTAGCAGTGGAATCCAGGACGCACATTTTGTCCACCTTAGGACTCGTTAGCTCACAATACTTGTGACTTGATGCAATATCGAGGCAATCCCCACAGGATGCACGTATGCCAATAAGAGGTTGATCAATTGCAGTACTAAATGTCAATGAGAAGATCCAAGCAACCAATACAAGATGGATTTATAATGTTTACCGTTGTTAACCGTTTCATTTACCAAGATATTTCTAGATAATCAAACCACAAATTGAAGATAAATTGACAATTTTCACCTGACCGTTGTTGCTACCTTGATGTGGTGGTCGGGCATGCCTATCGTGATGAAGCAACCGAGCTATACTGGCTGGAACAACCGTTCCTCAAGGTCCTACCATGTCAGATAGGTCGGTTGAAGGGCGGTAAGACTAGAAGCAACAAACCTAAGGTCCGAAGGCGAAGTTGTACTGCTGACTGTACATACGTTTAACAACAGTAAGGTGTTTCCTTCAGACAACCAGCGTGACAGCGATGCTGCCTTCCCACAAGGAGGGGTGAGGTTAGAAAAGGTCGACCCTAAAAATGTCACACCTCGCCTTATCCCACGGATATTCGTCTCCGGTGGTAAGGTATCAACAAGTACGGGGCTAACAAAAAAATTACCCATAAAAGGGTCGTGTGTGACCGACCTCAAACAGTTGTCTCTTGGGTACTGCGGTCACGCTCTCAGGTCACTAAGACCACCTCTAATCCAATTTCCTTTTCAGGTACCTCCAGAATAACCCTTCCACGGTGTGGGCAACCGGGAAGTGATAACCGCCCCCATACCTCTAACAGCACTCAAGACCACTGTATTCATAATCAACCTCCGTCTTCACTTCCTATTATTCCTCCTACATCGACTTTCACCTCTTAACTTCCTTTTTCGGCTTCCCCCTCAAGTGTCACCATAGCCAACGATTCTAGTGCTCAAAACACTGTTCCGGGTCTACTGAAACCTCGCTCCAAACTACACATTGGAGCCTTCAACGTACGCACCCTATGTCAAATCGGTCAACAGGCTTCCTTGGCTAGAACCATAGAATCTCGTACCATTGATGTATGCTGTGTCTCTGAAACACGCATACAGGATCCCAGTGTGGTCATTCACTTGACCTCATCTCAGCAAAACGGAGAGCCAATGAGATACACCCTCCGTGTATCTGTTGACCTGACGGCCAGCTCTCGTGGACTGGCAGGAGTAGGGATAGCACTAAGCATGAGGGCGGAACAAGCACTGTTAGAGTGGATCCCCGTTAACAGTCGTTTATGTGCTGTTCGGCTAAACGGCTCCGTAAGAACTCGGAAGGATAGGGACACACGTCGTTGTCTTTTCGACATTCCTGCCTACGCTCCCACCGACTGCAGCTCAGATGGAGTGAAAGATGAATTTTACAGAAAGCTATCTGAACTTCTTCAGAAAGCTAAACGTTCAGACATAGTACTCGTAGCAGGTGACTTTAATGCCCAGATAGGTAGTTTAAACCAAACGGAAAGGCATTTAGGTGGGTATTTTAGTATTCCGGCACACTGAACAGATAATGGTGATCGTCTGCTGCAACTGTGCTCAGACAATCGTTTATTTTTAGCAAACACAAATTTTAAGCATAAGGAGAGACATCGTCTAACATGGCGACCCCCTACACCAAAACAACGATGGACTCAACTAGACCATATTGCCATCAGTCATCGTCGAAGAGGGTCAGTTTAGAATGCGCTTCTCTCCCTCTAAATGAAAGCTGCTGCTTCAGGACTGGTCTGCGTCAACACCTGAACTAAGAATAGGGAGTGAAGTAGTCGAACGCGTTGACAACTTCACTTATCTTGGAAGTCTGATCAGCCCTAATGGGTTGGTGTCTGACGAAATCTCAATACGGATTCGAAAAGCGCGTTTGGCATTTACCAACTTACGTCACCTATGGCGAAGATTAGATATCCTCTATCAACTAAGGGACGAGTATACTGCGCGGCATTCCATTCTGTTTCAATTTACGGCAGCGAAACATGGTCATTAAGAGTAGAAGACACTCGTAAGCTACTAGTATTTGACCACAGATGCCTTAGAAATATTGCTGTCGTCCGCTGGGATCATCGGGTAAGTAATAATGAGGTTAGACGCAGGGTATTGGGAAATAATGGTAAATCAGTTGATGAGGTTTTTAATCTTCACCAACCTAGATGGTTGGCCACGTGTTACGTATGCCTGAACACCGATTACCACGACGTGCAATGCTAACCGGTGTTCGGGATTGTTGGAAGAAAGTTAGGAGCGGCCAAACCAAAACGTGGCATCAGTGCTTGAAGTCACCAACTTGTAGTTTGAGCCATGTTGGTAGATGCAGACTACTTGGTTGGGGTCCGCGTGACTATCGTAACCAATGGTTGGAGACTCTTGGTGACATGGCTCAGAATCGATCACAATGGCGTAGGTGTATACACTCTCTGTCTTTCCTTAAACTAAGAGATTAAAATCGCTTCATATCTTTCTTTCTACGAACTAATTCTTTCTTCGAGTACTATATCCTTATTACAATCTTTCTTTTATATATTGCCACCTCTGAATTAACTACTTTTATGAATCCGGTGTCCATCTCGTTATGTTAATGAGGTATGGCAACTTGGACCGGTGCATATGTGTCTGGTCCTACGTTGTAGCTGACTAACTGACTGACAATTTTCACGGACCAAATTAGATTAATACATTATAGTTGGCCTCTAAATATTATTTTACTTTCCGGTTAGTTTCTTCATGTTTTGAATCCCCCCTCCCCCACTGGATTTGAAGTGCTTCTATGATTTTCTCAATGATTTCATTTGTTTATAGGTAGTAAAACTTCAAAACGATATTAATATGCTTAAACGTTATCGTGATTTAGCTTCTTCATCGCATACAAACTTACAAAATGATTTAGAAGCTTTGTCGAAAGATTTTGAAGGGAAAAAGCAGGGCAAAGGTAAACATTTGTAATTGCTATTATAACATTGTTCTATTTTTTTGTATTATTTAAATTGTTAATCCACCCACATTGAAAATATACTTGATAAAATTGAATTACAATTTTATTGTGTACGTTTGATACGATTTGTGCCTAAAACTGGTTCGTACTGTAAATTTTTCCTCGATCATGCTATCCTGAGATCATTTTTAGAATATGTTATTGCTTAGTATTCTTGGACATTACTTCATTCGATATATCCCCATATTTAGAACACGGTTGAACAGGAATGTGATTATACTCCAAATAAACAAGGAATCGCAATGAGAAAAACGTTAGTATAAATTCACTTGGTGCTGTTTGCTTGTATCCTCCCATTGTTGTTTAGGACTGTAATTGATTAGTCTCTTGTTGGCATATAGACATCCTGTGCGAATTGCCTTGATAGTGCCTTAAGTCACAAGCTTTATAAGCAAAGATGGATGGTGGCTAGCAGTGGAATCGAGGACACGCGTTTCATCCTATTTGGGACTCGTCAGTTAGATGTACCTGCACCCCACAGTTGATGTTCACTCCACGACTCGAACCCAATACTGTTCGCTTCAAACGCCATCACGTTATCCACTTAGCTGCTGAGTCCTGATAGCCACCTGCTTGTGTAATGGTGCTGTTTGCCTATATCACCAAGTGAATTTAGAGCGAATGGTACCGGGTTCGAGTCCCGGAGTGAGCACCGACTGTGGGATGCAGATACGTCCGACTGATGAGTCCCAAATAGGAAGAGACGCGCGTCCTGGATTTCACTGCTAGCCACCACCCATTTTTGCTAATAAAACGTTAGTATATTTGTGATTTTTACATAAGATTCTATGGTGTCCTTGTATCTACTAGCACTGATTAGTTATCAAATGGCTAATCAGCGCGCTCCAACACAATTCTGCACGGAATATGCTTTAATCTAATCTATATCCTGCTAACAGAATGACTGAACAGTATTTAACGTGACTTATTTAGGGGTTAGCATTATATCCAAGATAAAAGTGGTGTATTTATTTTACTGTTTTTTCCAAAATACTGCTGTAATTGCTTTTAACTGCATGAAAGACATAAATTTCAGAAATACTAAAATGTTTATTTGCGAAGATATGTACATCAATGATATCAGTAAATCCATGAATTATTCCCTGCTAGGCTGTCGAACGAAACAGAACATTTGGATTCACCGTTCCATCGTTTTTTTCCATCTTGCTTAATCATCATCTTAATAATCTAATTATTATTTTGAACTGCGTAGACAAGTGATTTAATAATATATTCTCAGTAAAACTGACCATAGGAATTTTCTGTGTATGATGAATATTTTGTATAGTTTGCTTGTCACCTCAAACAGAGTGAGGGTATACAACCCCTTCTCTCCATTATCCTATCCAAGCAGTGGGGTTGGGGAAAGTTTCTCAACCTCAACTTTACTATCGATATCATTCTGTAAATACATATTTGTAGTGTAGATCTATTACCTGGATAAGCGCGTCTCGTCTGTCATATATTTGTGAGGTCCACTTAGCTATTGAAACTTACCAATTGTTTATCATGGGGTATTTATATTTAAGCCTTTAATCTTTATTGGGGGAACATTTCTTATTGAATTAGTCAAAAGAATTTTGAGTGATCACCAATGGCAGATTATGCTATTGTACTTGGTTGAGTGTAGTTTATAGTGAAGAATTTTACTGCTCATTTCCATCATGTAACTTTCTAATAAGAACCCTGATCATGTCATCTGATTTAAATACTCGTGTCGAATTTCATAATGAAGTAGTCTTTTCATTTAATATGATTAGGGTTTGGAATCGATTAAATATTACTACATGCAATAACTAAATAATCTGTCGAAGCGTCTAGCTACTTTCATTATGGTTGATCAGCTATATGTATAATAATAGTGATCTGTTGACTTTTTGTATGTATATACATCCAAGGATTTCCTCTCAGCCATCTTTAACAGACTAGAAAAGGTTAAGCAACCTTAGTGTCATGTCTTATGGCTTGTCAATTCTCACGTGATAAGATCACCAATCAGAACACGACTTATACAGTTTCAGTACCGTGCCAAACCGGTGACGTGTTGACAGGTACGAGCAGTCTAAAGTCCTTATTGGTCTTTCTCGTCTAGCCCTGCCCATTAAGTTCAGAAACAAATGTCAGCTCCCACTATATGAATCATATATTTCAGACATACTTGGTTTATATACAAGTAAACCGGACCACATCATACCATAAAGTAAAAAATAACAATTATACGGGATCAAGTCTAAAGTTGCTGTGATTGTGAGAGACTGTGGACTAATAAATTGGGAATAACTTAAGACTAGTAAATCGTATGATAGTAGTCAATAGGTTAAATTAAAGCTTATGGTAAAAGGAATATATATATATATATATATATATATATATATATATATATATATATATATCCCGACTGAAACTTCTACCTTGACGCGGTGGTCGGGCTTGCCTATCGTGATGACCCAACCGAGCTATATTGGCTGGAACATATGTTCCTGTACGTTCTACCATGCCAGGCAGGTCGATTGGAGAGCGGTAAGACTAAAAGCAGCAACTCAAGGTCTGAGGGCGAAGTCGTACTGCTGACTGTAGAGGGGTGTGACAGCAGTCAGGTGTTTCCCTCGGATCAGTCGTCACCGGCCATGGAGGGCAGGACAGTCTGACCGATGTTGCCGGAGCAGCAGGCCAGTTGAACTGCCCTTCGAAAAATTCTGCCCACCGTCCAAGACGTCGATGGATGTTAGTGATTGGCATCCCATCACCCTCGCAGATTGTTTCACTCACACCAGACTTCTTGCTGCCAGTGGCTCGGATGAGCTGGAAGAGCTTCCGGTAGTTACCAGATGCAGCTGCTGCTTCCAGCTCATTAGCACGCTTCGACCAGCAGGCTTCTCGGTCCTTACGCAAGCTTTGCCCAATTTCATTATGTAACATCCTTCGTTTATGGTCAAACTCACGGTCACCCGGAGTAGACCGACGGGCTTCAATGAGATGTAAGGAACCAGAAGAAACCCAGTGCTTAAAAGCGGGACGTTTCGCAAACCCACAACTGACTGTTCCCGCCATTTTCATGGCGTCATGCAATTGCAACCAATGCTCATCTATACTTTTCGGTGGAGTGGTAGCTAGCCTAGAGGCTAGCTTGGTTCGATACTTACTTGCAACAGAAGTTGCAACCAGCTTGCTAATATCAATCCGTTGATGGTGGTCACTTCGTTGTTCACTGAAAAGTAAGGCAAGATTGGCGCAGACCAAGGCATGGTCAGAGTCCAGATAGGTACTCCAAAAGGAGCGGCAGTCTTGTACACAACCACGCCAGCGGTAGCTGATCGCGATGTGATCAATCTGAGTCCAGGCTTGGGATGCAGAGGGAGGACGCCAGGTAGCACATCGGCGATGACTGTGCCGAAAGTTAGTGCTAGCGAGAAACAGGTTGTGGTCTGTGCACAGTTGCAGTAGACGGTCCCCGTTATCTGACCTGCGACCAACGAGTCCCCATCGGCCACCTAAACGACTCTCTTCTGTGCCTAGACGCCCGACCTGAGCATTCAAGTCTCCGGCTAGTACTACAATATCTGTCGAACGCACTTTCTGGAGAAGAACAGATAACTGGTGGTAAAACTCATCCTTGATTGCATCCGGGCAGCAATCTGTCGGGGCATAGGCGGAGATGACGAAAAGACATCGTTTCTCACGCCGATTTCTTCTCACTTTGATGGAACTTTCTAATCTAACAGCACATAACCGACTGTTAGCGGGGATCCAATCGACTAGTGCTGCCTCAGCTCGAGCGCTTAGTACGACACCAACGCCTGCAAGACCAGACGAAGATGCCACAGGGTCCCCGGATAAGCGCACGTAAAACAAGCTTTTCGAAGCGACAGATGGAGATCGAATTTGTAGTACTTCGCCAGAGTCTTGAATACGGGTCTCGGATAGACAACAAACATCAATATTAAGACTTTCCAAAGACATAGCCAGCCCTATCTGTTGTCCGACCTGCATAAGTGTGCGAACGTTGAAGGCAGCCAGTTTGAATGGGGCATGTGGTTTCAGAAAAACTGCTTCAGTACTCATATTCGATGGTAACATACAATTTTCAACCGGACAGTGACTCGAGAACGTTTAGATATAGTCGAATTTCCACCAAAGACGAGCCGCTGTATAAGTATAAAAGAGGGTGAATAATGTGGAAAATAATAATAATAATAATAATAATAATAATAATAATAATAATAATAATGACAATAATAGTAATAATAATAGTATTAATTATGACAATAACAGTAATGATAATCATTTGAATCGACTGATTGTTTTTCGGAGCGAGATAAGTAGTTGCCATAGACATAGAGTTCATCGTTTGTGTGTAGGCTGTGATACTGCCCGGGTGCCCAAACCGAAGCAGGTGATTATCTTAGAAGGCCACTCCCCGAGCCTTTGACCTAAAGGTCTAACCCAGAAGGCAGTGGAGCATAGTAAGGAGATGCAATCCCATGGTAGCCGGTGACCAAAGATTGGTTCATACGCAACCTGTTTCTGGCTAGCACTAACTTTCGGCACAGTCATCGCCGATGTGCTACCTGGCGTCCTCCCTCTGCATCCCAAGCCTGGACTCAGATTGATCACATCGCGATCAGCTACCGCTGGCGTGGTTGTGTACAAGACTGCCGCTCCTTTTGGAGTACCTATCTGGACTCTGACCATGCCTTGGTCTGCGCCAATCTTGCCTTACTTTTCAGTGAACAACGAAGTGACCACCATCAACGGATTGATATTAGCAAGCTGGTTGCAACTTCTGTTGCAAGTAAGTATCGAACCAAGCTAGCCTCTAGGCTAGCTACCACTCCACCGAAAAGTATAGATGAGCATTGGTTGCAATTGCATGACGCCATGAAAATGGCGGGAACAGTCAGTTGTGGGTTTGCGAAACGTCCCGCTTTTAAGCACTGGGTTTCTTCTGGTTCCTTACATCTCATTGAAGCCCGTCGGTCTACTCCGGGTGACCGTGAGTTTGACCATAAACGAAGGATGTTACATAATGAAATTGGGCAAAGCTTGCGTAAGGACCGAGAAGCCTGGTGGTCGAAGCGTGCTAATGAGCTGGAAGCAGCAGCTGCATCTGGTAACTACCGGAAGCTCTTCCAGCTCATCCGAGCCACTGGCAGCAAGAAGTCTGGTGTGAGTGAAACAATCTGCGAGGGTGATGGGATGCCAATCACTAACATCCATCGACGTCTTGGACGGTGGGCAGAATTTTTCGAAGGGCAGTTCAACTGGCCTGCTGCTCCGGCAACATCGGTCAGACTGTCCTGCCCTCCATGGCCGGTGACGACTGATCCACCAAACGAGGAGGAAGTCCGCAAGGAACTCCAACTCTTGAAGCGTTACAAATCACCTGGCCCAGATGACTTACCTCCGGCTCTTTTTAAAGATGGTGGTGACTTTTTGACTAAGGAATTGACGACGTTGTTTACAAAGGTTTGGGAACTAGAGAGTGTACCAACGTCATGGAATGAATCGATAGTTGTCCCTATCTTTAAAAAGGATTCACGTCGTTCCTGCAACAACTATCGGAGGATAAGTCTACTTCCGATTGCGTCCAAGCTATTGGCTTCCATCATACTTCGTAGGTTGTTCAAAACCGGAGAAAGATTGACTCGCGAGGAGCAGGCTGGTTTTTGTTCCAGTCGAGCATGTACTGATCATATCTTCACCCTCCGCCAAATGTTAGAACACCGTCATACTTATCAAAGGTCAACAATCGTAGTGTTTCTTGACATCAGGGCTGCCTTCGATCCGTTGGACAGGACTGTTCTCTGGGATTTTCTATTGAAGAAGGGTGTGCCTGAGAAGTTTATTAACATCCTAAAAGCCCTATATACAAACACCTCAGGTAGAGTGAGGGCATACAACCACCTTTCTCCATTGTTCCATTCGAGCAGTGGGGTTAGGCAGGGTTGACCAATCTCACCACTCCTCTTCAATTTCGCCATCGATGACATTCTGGAAACAGCTCTGATGAATGTAAGTAATGGTGGTGTGGATCTGTTGCCTGGAGAAAGACTTCTCGACCTTGAGTATGCGGACGATATTGTCTTACTGTGCGATAATGCCCAAGGCATGCAATCCGCACTTAATCAGTTGGCAATCAGTGTCCGTAGGTATGGTATGTGCTTTGCACCTTCGAAGTGCAAAGTACTCCTACAAGACTGGCAGGATTCCAATCCTGTACTCACCCTGGATGGTGAGCAGATAGACGTAGTCGAGAAGTTCGTGTATCTGGGTAGCTGCATAAGTGCTGGTGGGGGTGTGAGTGATGAGATCAATGCACGAATAGTGAAAGCCAGAGCGGCTTATGCCAATCTGGGCCACCTTTGGCGCCTTCGTGATGTTAGTCTGGCTGTAAAAGGTCGGATCTACAACGCGTCGGTGAGAGCAGTTTTGCTCTATGCTTGTGAAACCTGGTCTCTCCGAGTTGAGGACGTTAGACGACTCTCTGTGTTCGATCATCGCTGTCTCCGAAGGATTGCTGACATTCAGTGGCAACACCATGTCAGTAATGCAGAGGTTCGGCACCGTGTGTTCGGGCACAGAGACGATAATGCAATTGGTGTCATCATCTTGAAACACCGACTTCGGTGGCTTGGACATGTTCTGCGAATGCCGTCCCAGAGGATTCCACGTCGTGCATTATTTGCCGACTCTGGGACTGATTGGAAGAAGCGGAGAGGTGGTCAGTGCATGACATGGTGTCGTGGTATGAAAGAAAGCTGCAAAGGACTGGCTTGTGTTGGTCCTTCACGACTCCCTGGTCGGGGTCTGAGAGATGGTGCAACACAGTGGCTAGAGACGTTATCAGATATGGCTCAGAATAGAAGCCAGTGGCGATTCTGCTGTAACCTTCTTTTACTTTCTTCATAAAAAGTGGTTCTGTCTCCCTTACCTGAAAGATTTCTTCCGATTGTACCTTTGCGTTCCCTGATTACTAGCACATTACCTTACACCAATCTCTTCGTTATTGTTCTCTCTTTTTTTTGTTGCACTCCTTAGCTTTTTTTTCTTTCTTTGTATTCCTCTCGAATTTTCATTGTTTTGTGTGGCGCATATATATTGGCGCTCTCTTGTACCAATATTTATGTGTCCAACTAAATAAATAAATAAAGGTTGGCATGAAATGAAATTTTGCTGTTTCCTTTTAATATTCTTCATTTGTCCAATGATTCCTGCTTGAAAATAGTCACTGATTATTGTATTTTATTTGTTTTGTTATACTAATTTTATTGGTTATTTTAGGCACTTCCACAACAATGAATGTGGACGAGTTGAATGATTTAATTTCAGTGGCACATGCTCGTATCTCTTCCTTACAAGATAAATTAGATCATTTAGAACATAGTGAAAGAGAACGAATGAAATCAGCTTTAGAAGCACAACGTCAAGCAGATGATAGTCTTCAAAAAGAATATATCAAACAAGAATTAAATCGAGAACGCACGAGACATGAAATTGAAAGACATAAATGGGTGTGTGACTATTTAGTTTTCTATCTACCTAATTATTATATTTTTTCAACAACACTTCTGGTTGCATAAGAAACTTTTGGGTAGGTGAAATAATTTAACTTCAATTAAAACATCATAACATTGTCTCTTGTATTTACCGAATGATAGGCCGATGGAACTGCGACATTGATTGATAACGATTTTAATTTTCGAGTTATTATCACTTATCATTAGATTGAAGATCTGCTTAACTAATAAGTATCAAACAGTATAACATATAGATAAAGGGCTTCTTGTGTATTGCTTTATTCTTCTGGAACTTAATGGTCTGTGTACTCAGGTGATAATCATCAGGTCACAAATTTGAACCTCAACTCACTTAATTTTAGATAGTCCTGTCCTTACACGAATTTATACTTAGGTGCCGAGTTGAAAACGTCATTAAAATTAAAACTTAACGTTGTCGAAATATGGAGAGTGAGATGATAGATGTTTTAGTAATTTAGATACGAATCACTAAGTGAATGCTCAGAAACGTTGTGTGAATTAGCTAGATTATCCTAACACAGGTAAACTGAGGTAGATTTTTAATTTCACTATTAATCGTTTTAAACACCTCATGGCTATATTTGTGTTCATTTGGTAGTATATATAAGATCATATGTCAAGAAACTGCCGAGGATTTTTGTACGCACTCAAAATTCCATCGATCTGACCTTATTTATTCGTATAATGAAGTACTATTGGTTAAATAACTGAATTCCATCCAGTTTCTATCTCCGTTTGATCAATCAATCAGTCAAAAGCAACGTTATATCCGATGTGTATGTCTATTGACCTACGTTTCCACATCACATTTACATAGACTGATGAATAACAAAGTAACGATGTTAGTAGTAGTAATAGTTGCAGCCGTTGTAAATAGTAGTAGTAGTAGTATCGGTAATAGTAGAAACAATTACGGATTGTGGATTGCAATTGAAGGCAGAAGAATTAATTCACAGACTAAAAGGGATAAAGTAGTTTTAATGCACATTAACTATTGTTAATACATTTTTCCCTATGGCTTGGTCAGGATATTGTACACTGTTTTTTTGTCATTTTTCAAAAGCCTGCTTATTTTATGTGGTTTTATCACAAAAAGTATTTTATTGCATGAATAATTATTATTCATCTGTACAATATTATTTAAATTAGTTGCGGGAAGCACGTGATGCTCGAGAACATGAATTGAAATTAGCACTGGCGAGACATAGTGAACATCTTTCACATATGTTGCAATTACAGAAAGAGAAAATGGAACATCAATTCGCACATCAGCTACGTGAAGAGTTGGCAAAAGAAAGAGTCGCTTTTGAAGCTGCACTTATCGGTTGGACTAAGCGTATGGAAGCCATAGAAGATGTTATAGACGGTTAGTTAACCATTGATTTTTTATTTCATGCAGTAATAACCTACAAAGTCCTCTTAAGAAAAAAATATATGTTCAGTATTTAATATTCATGTTATCTGTGGCTTGTTGCTCTATGCATTCGACTTTCAACCAGCGGGTCATAAGTTAATAATTCGCTTCATGTTTGGCAATCAGATTTTAAACTTTATTTTTTTGTTGCTTTACAATTCTGACTCCTTAATTCAATAAACGGGATCGTACGTGGATATCAACTTGTATGTTGTATCGTTTCCATTATGTATCAGCACATCTAAAAATTAATTACTTGGCACGTAGTTCATTCTTTACGTCTTTCTTTTTTCTCTTCAACATGTGCTTTATTAGCAGCTCATCACACATTAATTTTCCTATTTCAGGAAGAGCGGATCTAGATCGGTTAGCTAAAGAAGCACAATCATTATGGCTGTCATGTGAAGCTTTAGCCTGTCGATTGCATTCAGTTAGCCCGTCAATGAAATCTCACCATGAAACGAAAAGCGATTCGGTCCTACTGAGTCAAACTGGATCTTTAAAAGATTTTGTCAATTCCATTCGTGAATGCGCCGCTTCCGAAAATTACCCTTTTGTCAACATAATTCTAGACAGTCTATCTTCTGATATAGTGGAAAATGGAGTTTGGACAGAAAATGGATTGAAGAAGAGGTTTGAAAAGGTGAATTTCTATCTTTTTTTTTACAGTTTTTTAAATAATTCAAATGGATTTTTCGTGTTTGATTTCTTGAATTTGGTTATCACTTAAGACTGAATAGATATGCATATGACTTAAGTGATGCTCATTGACTTGCATTTTAATAATTGAAACATCGTTTCCATCATACCGCCTTTTGAATCCACTATTCCCCAAAATACTGTCGATGCGAAACCAAAACTTTTTTTAGTAAACATTACATAAAGTTTTACCATCGTCTGTCATGTGTGCAGACCGAACCATGTGTTACCATTGCCTAATGACCAGTTTTAACACATTGAAGGCCCGGCTTGAAGACAAATATGCCGCTACAAGATGTCATTACTTTTTGTCATATCTTATGACATCTATAAATATTATGGCTATAGAAGGATTTAATAATTAAGTTTTTTTGTAATTCAGCAACCAAGTGCCAATTTGCGTGTTTAGTCTTTTACTGTGTTTTACATATATATGTATGAATTAGTGCTGTTACCCAGGTGCCTAGATCGATTTTGCTTTACCGGGGTTCGAACTTGCGGTTTCATGGACGAATATTGTGTTTAAGACCCGACACCACTGCTTGTACATTAAAGTAAATTGTTTGTAACAATGGTTTCATTATCAATAAGTAATTGCGAGTGAACTTTAAATTATCTCTCATTGTTCTACATAGCTGGTTTCCGTGACTACTTATCTCCTTCAACCACGATGCTTGAACGTTTTTAGGAAAATATCATTGTATATCTTACATTGACCATTGTAAAGCAAAATTCATGTACTTATAATACAACTCACTTAAAAAAAACAACTTTTCCGAAATGTCTCATTCATTTGTTTTTGTGTGTTCAGATTAAACGGTATCAAAGCAACCTTATTGAGAAATCAACTTACTCATTTGCTTTATGGAAGTGTTATTGTATATTTTGAATGTTAATTACAGTCTTCATTGTAGAGTTATATGGTACCTTGTGCATACTAATAATATATATTGTACAGGGTTGAATGTGTTTCATCTCCATCTGTCACGTCTATTTCAAAATTTGTTTTTAAATCTTTATCAAAGCGATTGCTAAAAATGTCGACTTGTCATATTCCATATGTGTTATGTCGGACACTGTTATGTCTACTGAATGCTTAACTGGCTTGTACTTTGTACTGAGGTCCTGAATTTGGAGACGCATATTGAGAAAACGAAGACTGGTGATAAGGATTTATTTGACCTGGGAAATACATCGAAATGGTGCATGAAGAAACTCATTTACATATTGATTTTACTCGAATCTTATGATTGGTTAATAATTCCTAAACAGAGGAAATACACAGAATTATTACAAACACTCAGACTACATACCATACTGAAACGAATTTCTTACCGAATTAATTCAAAAAATATAATCTTGAATAAATCAATATTATACTGAACAAAATATCACATTGAAATCAAAACAAATATTACTCTGTATAGCCAGAATGCTAAGTCAAAAATAAGAGTAATGTTAAATGAAAAGCACAGTGAGTTAAGAACGTGATTTTAGCAGTTAATAGATTGGAATAAGATTTTGTGAATAATCAGTTTTATAAGTACTGAAAACTGAACCAACCACCGCCCACTTCGAGGTGTGTTTACTTGGATAAAAGCGAACTGGAATAAATTGACGAAATCAATACATGAAATCAGTTCATGAAGTCATTGACTACTGATCTAAACCATCCTGAGAGATGCAGATTACCTATTTGAAGTTCGTGCAATGACGGCGATCTGAGATTGGAGATTGTATGATGTGGTTTAAAGTAGTTTACAGTGCCACAGGTACATTCACTCTTTATCTTCCTGTTGATTTGCAATCCCATATTTTCCTCATATGTATATCCTTCAACTGAATGTTCTCAATCCATATTTCAAATATTCGGTTCTTCTCACTGTCACTGCTACTACATTATTTCTATCTCTTTCACAATAAATCTTGTTTATTTCATATCATCGTGCTAATGTGGTGTGGGAACTTGAACCAACGCAAATCTTTGCAAGGCTCTATGTCGATAATCAATGAATGGCTGGCCAGTCGAACTGAGTCAATTATTTCTTTTATTAAATTGCTTTTTTGTCAGATTGGACATAGTCTTGATTTTTTAGATGCTTTTTTACTTTAGACCTTTTCAAGGCAACTGATATATTCTAGTTTTGTTATTTATAACTTAGCCTATCATGAACTATTCACACACGTATATCATTAGATTTGTAGGTTATATTTCAAAGGCGAATATCGTTTGTGAAATATCCCTTTCATTCATTTCGCATTTGTAATGATTACATATGAGATTATTCGTAAAGATTTTGCATTTGTTTTGTACCGTTTGCTGTTTTTTGTTTTCTAAGGTATATAACGTCTGCAGAAATGTCGCATTAATTGATGAAACAAGTGGTTCACTATGGGAATATGCTTTATCATGGCTACAGTCTATATTAATCGTAGATGTGAAATATAAATGTTTGGAAGCGATTTCACGTATTAAACCAAATATTGGTAGTCCTTATATTCAATACATTAAAGATTATGATACAACGAAACAAACGGACTCAAGACCAGATTCATTTCAGTTGTTATCTAGTGCCAAATTCGCTATGGCTAGCGACCATAATATCTTTTCAGGTGACGAAAATACATCTGGTGATGAAGCACTTAAAACAGCTGTACGATTGTTAGGTCAGTTGCGTGGTCAATCTCGTGTTGTTGCAAATGATTGGTTAGTTGATGCTCGACACTATTTAGAAGCTAAACAAACTGCTAGAACGTTATTAGCTTATGTTGCTGCTCGTGATATTTCTACTTTCCAAAAACGTCTATAATTGTGTTCGAAAAGAACCATTTAAAAGGGCTGTTTCATTATTTATCATTCTTATTGTCGTTCTTGAGTACTGTTTGAATCTTTTCATGAAGCATCTTTTGTGAAATTAGTATTTAATTTTTGTATGAAGGGAATTCTGATTTGTAATTACCCTTATTTAAATGTACATGAATATAACTAGACAGAAATACAGTAGTACACTTTTCCTATCAAGATTTTCCTTGGTATTTCACAGGTTGGTGTTATTGTTGTTAAAAATCTTTCCACTACTTAGATTACACAATATCTTGTCTAGCAAATTCCATTTAGTCAGTTGCTTGTAGTAATTCTATATTTATATCTTTATGGTAGTAATAATACTTACGGGCAAATAAATAGCATATATCACCCACTACCCCAAATCTTAGGATATTAGCATTGAATATACTCTGTGATTTAGGAGTTTGTAGTTAAACTCCATTAACTCTTTGGAACAACCAGTTTGTTTGGTTCTAATCAGACCTTTCATCGGCCCTTGCTGGCGTAGATCGGTTAAATTCAATTTATCTGTATGTCATTGTCATTGAGTTGTTGAAGCATGATATTTCAGCGATTAAATACTAGCTATTTAAGTTCGAAAATTGTGACTGCTTATGCAATCAATATGCGTATTACTTTCAGTGTCTTGTTTTTTTTGCAACAATATATTGACTATATATGTTTGCAGTAGTTCAGTGAATACATACGGCGATACGTATTCATTTTTCAAATCATTTTCACATCCATACCTAATGCTGCAAGATGATACAAAAGATCACTAAACTGTTGTTATAATAAGTATTGGGAACTCCTTAATAATCGAAGTAGGTTTGGCAAAGGACAATTCAATAATTTCCAACGATTAGGTACTATAAATCAGGATGATTGTCGACAAGGTTACTCAAATATAATGTATTTACAAAATATGATTCCACGTAGATCCGAGAATAATTAATCAAGTAGTTTATTTGAAGATGTATTTCACCAACTAGTGCATATAATTTTGCTGCTGGTTCATTGGCCAGATTGCTGACCATCCTAAGTATACTTCACCATCAAAACTAATAAGATTCTAAGACGGTGAACTATAATGCTTTTATCCATAGGTTTTGACACTGAATACGTGGTTATTGTACGCCATAGACTAGAATAAAATATTACATGTCTAGTTTTTCGCTTGAAAACAATGTAGTCTCACCTGTCGAATGATTGTTAGTGAACTCTGTCATACATTACTAGTAATTGATTTAAGCAACAGATGGCTCGAGGACTGCTTAAAAGTTACCTGCTCTATATACTTCGAAAGGAGAAAATAGAGATCTTTGGTAAGTCTAAATAAATTTCCCATTTCACTGATGCTTAGAATTTTTCTGGTCGCCATGTTTATTCACAAAATGTCCTCAAAATTCTTGAAGATTTCAAAGTATTTATTTGTTTTTGGGTTTCAAAATATTCTCAACTTATATAGTCCTCGACGTAAATAGATGTCTTGACACTCAGAAATCAGTTTACATATGCTGAGTTCGCAAAGTAGGAACGTTTTAGTTTATTTTTTATGTAATGAAAGAATATGTTCAATATCTTTGTGACGAGTTAGTGTTAACAAATTGTTTTCTTTGCATTCGCACCTCAAAATTAAGGTAGGTTCCAGGTCTTGTGTAGATTCTAATATTAATGATCTGGCCGAATGGCTGCACTAGTCCTGGTACTTTTGAATTATTTGGTTGTTGATATATCTTGAGTGTGTACATCCCCCAGACTAGTGGAATTACCAAGACTAGCAGTGTTCACGCTTATGGGTTTAATTGTTGGTTGTAATATAAAATATTTGGAATCACGAGTTGCAGAGAAAGTGCAGCGGCTAAGGGTAAATTAGTTGACTAATCAGGCAAATAAATATATGAGCTAATAAAATATAACATAAACAAGTGAACAATATTGTTTTCAATTAGTTTCTCATCAGGCATTAACACGCGGTAATATATGGATCTAACATTGTAGGATCAGTCGACAGTTGCTTCTCTATTTAAAAGCTTGCTTTCTACAAAAACTAACAAGGGATAAGTCTACTTCTGATTGCGTCCATCGCTTCCATCATACTTCGTAGGTTGATCAAAACCCCAGAAAGATTGACTCGCGAGGAGCAGGCTGGTTTTTGTTCCAGTCGAGCACGTACTGATCATATCTTCACCCTCCGCCAAATGTTAGAACACCGTCATACTTATCAAAGGTCAACAATCGTAGTGTTTCTTGACATCAGGGCTGCCTTCGATCCGTTGGACAGGACTGTTCTCTGGGATTTTCTATTGAAGAAGGGTGTGCCTGAGAAGTTTATTAACATTCTAAAAGCCCTATATAAAAACACCTCAGGTAGAGTGAGGGCATACAAACACCTTTCTCCATTGTTCCATTTGAGCAGTGGACCTTTAGGTCAAAGGCTCGCGGTGTGGCCCCCTAAGCAAACCACCTGCTTCGGTCTGGGCACCCGGGCAGTATCACAGCCCACACACAAATATGATGAAATGTCGATATTTATGGAAAATACTTGTCTTGCTTCGATTAACAATCAAACGATTCACATTATTATTATTACTATTGTTGTTGTTTTTATTATTTTTTACGTCCTATATTCACTCTCTTTTATTCCTGTTTTATATATTTTTATTTTTCGACTCATACAGCAGCTCGCCTACGGTGGAAACTCAGTTCTATCTAAACGTTCTCTAGTCACTGCCTGGTTGAAAATTGTATGCTACCGCAAGGAACTCCAACTCTTGAAGCGCTACAAATCACCTGGTCCGGATGACTTACCTTCGGCAAGGTTGCCCAATCTCACCACTCCTCTTCAATTTCGCCATCGATGACATTCTGGAAACAGCTCTGACGAATGTAAGTAATGGTGGTGTGGATCTGTTGCCTGGAGAAAGACTTCTCGACCTTGAGTATGCGGACGATATTGTCTTACTGTGCGATAATGCCCAAGGCATGCAATCCGCACTTAATCAGTTGGCAATCCGTGTCCGTAGGTATGGTATGAGTTTTGCACCTTCGAAGTGCAAAGTACTCCTATAAGACTGGCAGGATTCCAATCCTGTACTCACCCTGGATGGTGAGCAGATAGACGTAGTCGAGAAGTTCGTGTATCTGGGTAGCTGCATAAGTGCTGGTGGGGGTGTGAGTGATGAGATCAATGCACGAATAGTGAAAGCCAGAGCGGCTTATGCCAATCTGGGCCACCTTTGGCGCCTTCGTGATGTTAGTCTGGCTGTAAAAGGTCGGATCTACAACGCGTCGGTGAGAGCAGTTTTGCTCTATGCTTGTGAAACCTGGTCTCTCCGAGTTGAGGACGTTAGACGACTCTCTGTGTTCGATCATCGCTGTCTCCGAAGGATTGCTGACATTCAGTGGCAACACCATGTCAGTAATGCAGAGGTTCGGCACCTTGTGTTCGGGCACAGAGACGATAATGCAATTGGTGTCATCATCTTGAAACACCGACTTCGGTGGCTTGGACATGTTCTGCGAATGCCGTCCCAGAGGATTCCACGTCGTGCATTATTTGCCGACTCTGGGACTGATTGGAAGAAGCGGAGAGGTGGTCAGTGCATGACATGGTGTCGTGGTATGAAAGAAAGCTGCAAAGGACTGGCTTGTGTTGGTCCTTCACGACTCCCTGGTCGGGGTCTGAGAGATGGTGCAACACAGTGGCTAGAGACGTTATCAGATATGGCTCAGAATAGAAGCCAGTGGTCATCCCGCTCTATCTTAACTTCATAAAAATGGGCGTAACTTCTTTAAGTTCTGTTCACTGTTTTTATTTTTATCATGCGCATTTATTATTATCTTTATCTTTACGTCTACATTATTATTATGAAGATCATATGTATCAATTTTTATGTTTTCATATATATATTAATAATTCAAAACAATATTGTTCTCTTGTATATGTCGTTCTTATTCGCAATATGTTAATTTTTAATGAAAAAATTAACAGACGTTCTGAGAGATGAGGTTGCGTAGATGAAATTACTTTTGCTAATAAACTATGGTGGGTAAAACACGAATTTTAGTGTTGTAGGACAACTGATTGAAAAAAACTTTCCGTCAGGACATTCAGTCTTCATGCACTCCTATTTCTAGGACAGGAGATCTAGTGTGTCTTTCGAGCCTTACTTGGCGTTCTTGATGTCATCTGATAATGGTTTCCGTATAAGACTGGTTCATATTAAATAGGCGATGATAATTCGTGTGTATATTATCTTTTTTGGTCTACGACTTATCGAGCATTATATCATGGGTTAAAATGGTGGGTTTCAGGGAGGTGTGGTTCGGGTTGCATATTATGTCATGCAACGTAATAAATTTTCTCGTTATTCTGTTATAACCTAGTGGAAGTAATCCCAGATTGTAAGGTCGATCTTTTTGTAATTTCTTTCCCGAATTCAGTGATCTGTTTCTTTTCACTCTTTGGAACTTGTTCTAAGTGATCAGCATTTCTTTTCTAGAAGATGAGGTGCAACGAGACTTTTATTTTCAGGATTGGCCGGCGTTAAAACCAGTAATCTGCGTTGGTAGGGAATCATGTTTTGAGAACAATTAAACTTCAAATATTTGTAGAGAATTGTTTTACTGCAGGTTGTTTACACCACATCGGACACCCTGGCAGTTGACTTACAACCAAGTTTTGGGGATTAGAAATAATATCTTCAGCTTTCCGTTTGAAAATAGCATAATTCTTTATTCAGTATAAGAATTTACGAACATCAATATTAATTTGCTTTAGCTTCTATTGGAAAATAATAGTTAACCGATACAGATGAATAACAAAGTCTACGGGTATTGTCAACAGTAAGTAAGATTGGTATCTTTGGTTGATATTTCTTTCAAATATATACCAGCTACGTTCTACATAACGTATGACAGGGTGCTTGGAGTGAAAAAACAAACAAAATAATAATAAGTTGTAAACCATAGTTTCTATTCTGAAGCATTGGATTATAACACAAGCAAGCGAAATCTCAGAACTGAAAATAAGTTGACAACGGTGGTTTTGCTTTGGAGTCATTTAATCTAAACTTCATGATATGAAGTCATTTAGCACATGATTTAATAAGACCTAGTCATGCTGATATATTCAACTACTAACATCCCAGAAGTAAAATATGTAGCGTAATTCCCAACCTAAAGAGACATATTTACAATCTGAGTGAGATTTTTTCATAAACGTCACCGTTTTTGAACGTCACTCAAACTCATTGATTTCTTCAAATGATCATT